AGGCCTTTGAAAAAGGAGGCCATTTCTTGACATTCTGTTTTCTGTCACTGCTGTTGAGGAGAGGTAAAGCAAAGCCTGGCTTATAGAATGCTTTCAACGCAGGACAAGCAGTTCTCTGTTCCTGCCACAGTTTTACAGTAAGGCCATTCAGGACTTGGACCCAAGAAGATAACATGGCACGCTTAGTTAATCGTTTTCTATTTGCTCTCCTGGTTTGTTCCGTCATTAAACGGTGTTAGAATTGAAAATTAGGACTCCTTTTGCTGGCCAAATGAAAACACAAGTGGTTTGTGGACTGAAAGATTTACTCACACAGATACTTGCAGAGGATTAGAAAATCCTGGCCATGCATCTGCAGAAAGGAGCGGGTGGCATGTGCCCCAGCCCCCCGCCTCCTGCCCCCAAACGCAGGCTCTGTGCCCAGAGGACATCATAAATCACTTGTAATTTATGATGAGCCCACTCGTGTGTTACACCCTACTAGTTGGCCGATGTCCTCTTCACACTATAACCTCCCTTCTTCAGAGCATACAGGGACTTTTTCAGATGAGCCATAGACAGCGAGCTGAGGATTTTCCCCTTGGCTGGCCCAGTCAAGGAGGAGAGGGGGGAGACGACAGAAGACTCTTGTTCTTTGAGTTTTGCCACGAGCTTAACTCGCTTTCTTAGATTGGAGGTAGAGAAGGGACAGAAAACAAGAAGGCCATTATCATTCTTAGCCTATTTTCTTATATTCATTTATTCAACAAATGCACATTTTCTGAGTGCCAGCAACCCGCATGTTGGGGATACAGGAGTAAACTAAACAAGGTTTTGATTCTCCCCAACACTACACTGTCACAAAGTAATAGGTTCTGTGTCAGGAGGTGATGACATATTTTGCAGATTAAGAAGATGAATTAAGACAGGAAGGGGTACAAGCGATTCTGCAATGGGGTGCAGAAAATAGATTTGTAATAAGGCGAACTTAGAGCAGGGACTTGAAGAGAGAGACACAGTTAAACCGTGAGGGTTCTACGGAGATGGCATCCCAGATAAGGACAAGGGCCACCATGCAGGGGCATGTGTCAGGTGAGAAGCAGGGGCTGGAGGGGCTGGAGCAGAGGAAGCCAGGAGGGCGTGGTAAAGAGAGGAGGCAGGTGTGGAGGGCTAGCCGAGGGGTCACCTAGAGACCATGCCAAGGACCTGAGATATTACGCAAAGTGCGGTGGACGGCCATTGGAAGTTTTTGGAAAGTTGACCCTTTTCAGACACTTGAAAAACCAGAGTGGCCATGAGGTCAGGAAAATGAGGGCCATGCACCCATCGTGTCTTAGAGAAGAAAATGTGGGCTGTCGTCATTGGGATTGGAATGTTAGAACTTCAGTTCGCCCAGTGCACAGCGAAACAGAAATCCTAGTTTTGCTTGACCTTTGTATAAAAACCACACATCCTTTTTAAATTGGGATAAAAGTAACCACAAGCCATTTACTCAGCTGGAGAGAATACTTCCATGGACAGACCTAGCTACTACATCCAGTGATGAGTACCCTGCTACAGCTGTGAGGAAGGATGATATCCCCCCACCCCCACCCCACACCACAACACTGTTGCTGTTCTTGCAAAGATTAGTGTGAGCTTCAGCGTCAAAGAGCAGCTGGTAGGATATTTGGGATCAGATTCTGGGGCGCTTCAGTGACCTGCTCTGCTCTCAGTGAACACAGAGCTACCTCAAGCTGTTTTCCCCTCCGAGAGGACTTAGTCTGGTCTAGAGCTATGGAGAACATGGGCTTGGTTAGAGTGATTTCGACTCCTTTTGAGGACTCTCTTCCTAAAAATGGATAGCTAGAGTGGGCTACGCCATAGCGCCATCCTGCTTCCAAATGTTTGCAATCAGGTGAGCACATCTCAGGAATGTTCCTGAAATGGCTCTTGCTTTGTGTGGCCTGTTGGACTAGAATGAACTCTCAGATTTATTCCAATGCAAAACCTTTCTGAGCCTATGAAAAGTGTCCAGTGAATGTGCTCTGCAAACATACAGGCACTATATAAACAGGAGGCAAATATTGTAAAAGATGAAGAGTGAAATACTTGTTCTGGGAGAGCAGTGGTTGGAACTTAGTGCCCTAACAACATACCTTCCACGCTCGGGTGCCTGCAGTTTGTTCTCATTGGCCCCGTACACAGTTATCTGCTTTATGTGTTAAAAATGTGCTCAGCCAAAGACCAAACAAATAGCCAAAGGCATTTTCCTATCGGGGCCCTGTTGGTAGGAGGTAGAGCCAAAGAACAAAGCTGTTGGATTTGAGTCTTGGCAGGAAGCCAAGCTGGCTGCTTCAAAGCTCTAGGATTTACAAGGAAGAAAGAGGAGGGATTTTGAGCTGAGATTAAGTTAGAATTAAAGCAACAGAAAGCTTAAAACTCAAATTAAAGCATGCTCTGGAATCCGTGATGGAAAGGCAGAAGCATTCTGGGCTCTCAGATGACTTTTTAGAGCAAGAATGAAAGCTTTTCAAGGTGCTTCCAGCAGAGATTACAGAATAGCCTTGATTAACGATACAAGATCACACAGCATTAGAGCTGTATAAGTCGCCCTTTAGGGATCATTCCATCCCTCAGTTTACAGATAGCGGATCAAAAGCCCTGGAATTTGAAGAGAGCCCCCCCCCCCCCCCGCTGTCACATGACCGGTTGCCCAAGTGCGGGTCCTAGAATCCAGGACTCTTGATGACCATTTTGTGTTTTTGGCCACTTTACAGAAGTGGCAAACAATTGAAAGTTGTTTCCTAAGAGCAAGGAGCAGACAGCCACAGAATACAATTCAGACTGTATTCTGCATCCACGGTGCCTTTGGTTTCCTAGGACGTGCCATGACCCTCCCCCCGCCCCCCCGCCCTCCTCCGCCACCCCCACCGCTGTCCCCTAGGCCCAGGTTGTCCCTCCCACTTAGCAGCACAGCCTGGGGTCTCTGTCCCTGACCCCAGGAGCAGGGGGGCTGAGACCGGGCTGTAAGAGGCCTTCAAGGCCTGCGTCCCAGCCGAGCATGCGCGGGTTTGTACAGTCCTGGGGAGGCTGCGTGGTCAGGTCCTTCCAACCGCCTGCGCAATCCCAGCAGCGTCCCACAATATCATTGTGGGTGTTGTTGTTTGTCTTCCTTGCGGACAGGGCTTCCCTCCTCTTGAACAGAACCCCGAACACATTGAAGCTATTTATTATTTAAATAAATAATCACACTTTTTACATGAAAGAACTCCCAGGAAGGAACGGCTCCTGCTGGTCCCCACGCCCAGGTAACTTTGTCCTTTGAAATCTCCAGCATTTAAGTGAGCTCTTGTTCCTTCCTGCTAGAAGGGAGGGTCAGGGTGGGAGGCAGGGGTCACCTAAAGGAGGAGGGGATGCTTCTGTGTGTGTCTCCATTTGGACCAAGAAGATGTTAATTACCATATTTTTTTTTTTTACTATTCCTTTATTCACTTCGTCATTGATTTCCTTGTGGGTTTACATTCTGATTCTATTTAAAAAAAAAAAAAATGTTTGACAAAACCGAAAACAAAGAGCACATATGCAGTCAATAGAATATAAAGGAAGGCAGGTCGCCGAGGAGGGGGAAACAGATTTCACCCCTTAACTGTCATATGGAATCTGTTGTAAATATCAAGTTTTACTCTGGCCTTTCTGGCAACCCAGATAAAAAAGAAATACACAAATCCTAGTTATCAGAAAGAGGAAAAAAATACAGTTTCTTCAAGAGAGACGAAGTGTTGCTATTCTGGGGCTCGGCGGTGTTGCTAAACACTTGATGAGGACGTTCTGGTGCTTAATACAGAACGCTGAGCCCAAGGACACCCCTCCCTCCCTCCCTCTCCCTCTTCAAAGGGTCCTTGCTTTAGGCCGCCTGGAGCGGTGTCCCCCCACCCCCCACGCAAAAATGAAAACCATATTCTTAACATTATCCTTGGTTCTTTGTATGTGTCAGGGTGTGGCTTGGAATAATGGCGTGTAGTTTGGGTCACAAAATTATGTTGTCCAGGGTGTCTCTGGGATTTGCAGATTCTAAGGACAAGAACTGGAATTGCAGGGAGGGTCAGAATCCAGTCCTGCCGTGGCTCCCCAGGCCCCACTTATGCACCTTTCCTTCTCCCCAAAGAGCCCTATGCCCCGTCTCTGGCCCTTTTATACTATGTCAAGTTCCTTTTTGGAACAGGGTATCCGGAGGGAAGAGAGTTCTGTGGAATATACTTTGGGGAATGTAGGCTTAGAGGATTGGTTAACATGACCACGTGTTAACTTGCTCACCTTCCTGGACCCTGAAGTGGGCAACGGGGTTTGCAGTTACATAGACACGTGGGGTTGGGGAACAAACATTATACATGTGTAAGGTGAACAGCGAAGCAGCACTCTGAGCTCCTCGGCTCCACTCTGAAGTTGGAACTGGAATTTAGATTCTTCCAGAAGAAGGAAAAAGCAGTGTCATGATTCCCGTCCCTTGCCATGCCTTTTGTGAAAGCATGAATTGACTCCATCCTCCTCCGTTTTGATAATTTTTGAGTACGGTATGAAAAAGAATTATAGGAATCGGATGTGTCACTCTCCTAATAGACCATGTGAGAGAGAGAAAACACGGAAAAAGTAGTCTATTCTCTGTGGTTTACTTGAATATTTACTGAAAGTTTATTTGTTTTTTTTTACTATACGTATACATATTTTCTGCATACCTTGCATATTCGTAGAAACCTATGTTTTCGAATGCATTGTTACCAAAGAAAGGAATATTTTCAAGTGAGGCATTGTTGGTATGAAATAATTTGTCTGGATTCTTGGCAAACCATCATCATGTGAAAGACCAGGCACAGTGGTCTAATTATATGGACTCCAATCACATGTTTTGCTAGACACCTAGAAAAACTGGGGTTTGGGCCCTCCAGTGAACAGTATGAGTGTGCTCAATTCTACTTGGAATGTTTTTCGTAATTATTTTAAGCAATGACTTGATTCTTACTTGTGCTTATTCTTTTTAAAAGTATTAGAAAGGAAGATATCCACACGACAAAGTAGAGAGGAGCTGATAAGAAGGGGAGTTCTTAAGGAATTGCCTGATCAAGGTGAGGAAATTAATCATACATTTAAAATAATTTGATCCTTCATTCTTTGGTCTTTCATTCATTTTCTTTTGAAATTTAAAATGATCATGGTCTTTGGGAGATAAAAGCAGTAAGCACCTCACTCGGAGAATCTTGCTTTATTTCAGCATGCCTTTGTGGGCTGCAGAGAATCTGAGTTCTTCCAGAAAAGAAATTCAGTGACCTTTTTGGTGAGTCTTTCACCATATGTCACTCTTTCAACCTAAAGCTCTGCAAAGGTACACTGTAGCTCAAGATAGAGATAAGATACAAATTCTTACGTGACTCCTTTCTCATCTTTACTCTTGAGCTTCAATCTTTCCATACACGTTAACTCAATTGTTAACATAACTGCAGAGTTTTAGCTTGGCTCATGCTTTTGGTTTCTTAAGCCTTCCAGTAAAAGAACACTCAAATGTACAATCAGTAAGGTATGAATGGGCAAATTAAATTAATTTGCTTTATCATCCTCTCAAGTAATTTTCCCAGTGTTCTGTTTTCATTTCTCTGGATCTATGTCTCTCATCTTTCCACTAACAATTATTTCCAAGTATCTTTTTTTCCCCTACTCCTAATCCACTTCTTTTTTTTTTCTCTATCCTCCCAAAGGGGAATCTTACTAAAAAAAAGTCAAGGGTTAGATGGAAACTGAGATAGACCCTCAAAAGAAGACACCAAGTTGGGTTATTTCTCCAAATAAATAATACTGAATAATTTTCATTGCTCCCACTACTATTGAAACTAAAGAAAATATTTGTTGCAACATTGTTGGTTTACCTCCTGTCTTCCCCCAAACATTTACTAGAGTAAATTATTATTGTACTTTTATGAGAACATATAAAAAGTGATAAATTGGAATTGAAAAAATAGTACTTCTCTTTTCCTGATATGTGTTCCTTGCAAAGAACTTAATATCTTTTGGCATTCATTATTCATAAATCCAAATGACAACACTGTTTCCAACATCTGAATAATCCCAGTGGAGCTAGGAAGCACTTTACTATATTACTCCTGCTTCAAAGGTACTACCTTTTTTTTTTTTTAGCCCTCACAATTTTAAGTATTTTACTTTGATTTCTGCCCCGTTACACATTACTCACTCCATTTTATGAATGAATTTTGTCTTCCTCAATTTTCTATTACCGTCAAGCTATTTATTTCCTGCCTGATACTTTTAAAAATAAAAAAATGCACATCTCTAACCTTTTTTTCTTTCAAGGTCAATTTACAATATCAAAATTTATCTCCTCTCTAATCTCTCTGGAGGCAGTAAAGAAGTTACAAATCCACTAAAAGATGAACTCTGCACAGTCACCTCTATTTAGATATTTTAAAGAACGGGGAAAAGGAAAACTTATAATCGAAACTGTTAATGAGTATTGAAGATACGTGTTAAAGTCCCCTTTTTTATCCAATTAAAAATTATAGCTAAGGAAGAGGTTATTTTCTCTAAACACAAGTGACATTTGTCCACCTAAAGAAATGCTTAATATTGCTTCATTTTTATTCTTCCTAATCTGTTAAATTATTTGCATGATGGATTATAATTTGATATGCTTAGTTCCTAAAATATCTGACCTATCTGACCCTTCATTTAACTTTTACATACTGAACATTAACAGTTTTAAAACACAAGAACAAAAGAGCAAAACAATTTTTAACCAAAACATAATGTCTTAGGTTTAATATTTGGGAAGTTATAAATTACTGAATTTCACATTCCACCTCTTGCACCATCCCTATATACAACTATAGAAATTACCTAATACTTGGAAGTTCCCAGTGATGCCTATTTGAAATAGAGTCCTTCCCATCTTCTGCCAAAAGCTGGAAAAAATTCTGCCAATTTTCCATAAACAATTACCTTGAGAATTTCAGTCTGTTTTCAGCTCTAGCCTGAGACTAGAGGCTGCTGCTCTTGGTGACAACCTGCTCTCTTCTGCCAATGAAGACTCATTCTCTGCCCTGATCTTCTTGACCTTGCCTTAGCTCTTGACAGTGCTTGCCAATTAGGCCCTTTATTCAGTGATCCAGATAGAATTTTAAAGTCTGTCTAGCTACCCTGGGTTTGACCTTGTCCCATCTCAGCCCTTACCCTCCCTCCCAGCTATTATTATTATTCCTTTTAAATTATTTTTTTACACCAAGATCTAACTTCAGTCTAAAAGTTGAGCAGTAGATCTTCTCTCCTGAGAATTTCATGGTCTAAGTCCAAGTTCTGTCCTCACCTTCTGGTCTTTCCTTCCATCTTTTCCCTTAGCTTTAACATGAGGGCATGTAGAAGTGTTTGCTTGCCTGCCAACCTCCTTTCCTTTTCTCTCATCGTTTGCTTTCTGACCTTCTAATGATTCACTCACCTTTTGTTCATAGATGATTTTCTCCTGGTCTCTGTTTCTTTATTAACTATATCTCACATACGCTTGCTTACCAGAAAGAGGGAAAGCCCTCAAACTTTCTCATGCTCCTTACTTAACCACTTATTTCTGTGTGTGCTTTAGCTCTTGGTTTACTTTAATCTCACAAATCTTTTCTGAGTTTTCTCTCTCTCTGGCTTGCAGATGTTCCTATAAGACTTGGCAAGGTTCTCTGACTGTAACCTGCAGTCTAGCTTAGCATCGTTTGCTGAGCTTATATTTTACTTGCATACATAAACTATATCAAGGACTTAACTTGTTTTAATTTTAAAATAAAATACAAAACTAGAAAACCTCAATCATACACCAGTTATTAGTAACTTCAATCTCCTCTGTTTTATTCTTAATTTCCATATTTATTACAGATAGTTTTCCTTTTTCTACAGTTTTTTACAAGTACTAACTTTATTTCATATCTCAAAGTGAGTATCCTTTCACATTGGCAACTATTTCCCTCTGTCATGTGATAATCCAGTATTTTCTTGTAATAATAATTAAGAATCCTTCGGTTTCTTTTCAGTTTTACATATATTCTTTAACAATTTATTGCCTTAATTTTATTGAAATAGTTAAGATTTACTAGCAGTGACATTGCCTTCAATTATTGTCTGTTTTATTTTTATACACAAGTGAGATTAGAGGTACTTTTTAATTTGAACATGATGTAATTTAATGATATGAATTTTTTTTACTTATTAAAATGTCATGTTTGTTTTTGTTAATAAGGCCAGAAGATTTTATTGTGGAGCCAAAGCCACTCACTCATATTTCATGAAAATTTGGCAGATGGTCTCTGTTTTATAATGGTTTTCAAAATAAGATTAATCAAAATTGCATAAGTCACCTCTGATTATGCTTTTCTTCAAGTTTTCTAAGTAAAAACTTCAGTTCATTAATTTTTCTTTTACAATGGTAGCAAAGCCTCTTAAAATTTTCCAGGTATGAACTAGGGGTAATCTATTCAAGCATTTTGGTTGTTGAATTAAGAGTTTCTGGAAAAATCTCTTTCACTTTAGAAACTCCTAGGAATTGTGAATGCTCAGGGGTTAATATTGTTTTTTTATGATTTAGATAACAAGTACTATTTTTTAAAAAATTGTCTGTACTTTTTTTTTCATTTTCCCCTAATGTTTTCAAGCTATTAATAGGCCAATTTAAAGACTCGTTGATCAAATTACCTGAGTTCATTTTAATATTCTCATAAATAAGAAAATGAAACTACAACTAGCCTTGCTACCATCATTCCTTGAGTGCAGAGTAGTAGTTGTACTACTGTGCAAAGTTAACATCATAAAGGTGATATTTTGGAGACGGAGGTGCTTGGAAAATTTCATATTCTCTCACTAATTGTTTGTATGTGTAATTACATTTCATGTTACTGTGTATTCACATTCACCTTGTGTTTTTGGTGCTTGTTAAAATGTTTATTCCATTTTTCAGATCACACCTTTTTAGGTTCAGTTTCTGAATGACAAAGAGACTCCTAGTATTGACGTCAACACAACCTAAGCACAAGAAGAGAGGGATTCTGCTGCCCCAGGATATTCTATAATTAGGAATAATTATTCTACTGTCTTGAAATGGCTCCTGGATGCCCTGTCCATAGCTGCTTTCACCCATGACTCAGGATTTTGTAGTTCTTTCGTGTGAATTAATTATTTAGTAAAACATGGTGAAACAGTACAGGATGGATTGGGTTCCCAGGGCCTGAAACCTGAACCCTCCAGTCCTATTAAATGGAAAACTGGGTTTTAAGAAAGCCATCAAATTAGACATCCAGGTGTTTCTTTCCCTATTTTAGATGGAGATGTAACAGTTAACTTTGAAAATTCAAACGGGCACATGATACCCATCGGAGAGGAATCTACCCGAGAGGAAAATGTAGTCAAATCTGAAGAAGGTAATGGCTCTGTAGCTGAAAAAACGCCACCTCTGGAGGAAAAGGCAGAAGATAAGACAGGTAAAATCAAGAGAAACCCCTTTTTCTTTTACTTCAGCACAGCTCAATGTCGAGAATCAGGTCTTAGGCTCCAAAGAGTGACCTTAAGACCAGCAGAGAAGAAATTTGCAAACACGAAGAGGAGAGAAACGATAACTAGAGAAGAGAAATTCGATAATTTCCTCAAGTAGATGCATCCATTTTATAAACACATCATTTAATTTTTTTTTTATTAAAAAAGTCTAATTATTGGTAAGATTGGGCTGGCCCTTTCAGCCTTTGGAGTTGTCTGGAAATATTCTCTTGTCCTTGGGAGCTTTTTTGCAGTATTTTTAAAAATAAAATGCCAGCAGTCTGAACATTTTCCTCTGCTGCTTGGAAGTGGCCCCTGTAAGCATCTCAGCTTGGAGCAGTGTCAAACAAGGCGGCCCTTCCAGCCCAGCACTGACTCCAGCAGTGAGTGGGAGCTTAGCTGGTGGCATCCACACACCCAACACTGTAGGTTCTAGTCCAGGGTTTAGACATTTCTAAGAGAGACCCAAGAAGAGCTCCCAGAGATGCTCCCCAGCATTTTGGTTACTGTACTGGCCATAGGCTCTGTTCCATGAGGTGTCTGTAAGGTTGGAAATTTCAAAGTATGCCAGAGGCAATTATGACATTCCCTGAAAGCTTCTTTAGAGACCTCACTTTCTAGAGTGGCTGCGCTCTGGTAGACTGTCAAGGACCCCAGAACATTCACAAATTCCTGGGCACTGACTGATTGCCTCTCAATACCACTGCTATACATGCAGGAATCTCCAAGCCTCAGACTCATGGGAACATGAATGGAAACTCCCACCACATAAGGCGTTGTTGGGAAATTCTAGATGATTCCACACAGCATAAAAATGAATCCTCAGGAAATAGGCTATTTCCTCTCCTAGAATGTCTGCCTCTGAGTTGGTGGATGGCAAAAATTTGTCAAACCTAGTTTAGGTTCTGTGGGCATTTTGGGAACTCAGAATCTCCTGGAAGCAGACTTCCCTTTCTCTGTTCTTGATCCAAATCCTTCAAAGACAAAGGGAACAAAAGAGCAATTTACAGACATTGCAACTTAAAATCATCTACTCTGTAAGTCCATAGCCCCTATTATTTGCATGTAAATTAACCTTTAAAAATTTTAGAACCCTCTATTAATAATCTTTTCCTATTTTTTAAAAAAACTTTATTTATTTTTAGAGAGGAGAAGGGAGGGAGAGAGAGAGGGAGAGAAACATCAGTGTGTGGTTGCATTTCATGCACCTCCTGCTGGGGACCTGGCCCACAACCCAGGCATGTGCCCTACACTGGGGATCGAACTGGTGACCCTCTGGTTCGCAGGCCGGTGCTTAGTCCACTGAGCCACACCAGCTAGGGCTCTATTAACAATCTTTTAGAAGTTTATTATTTTGCTTTAGCCAATGTTAAGTACAGTGTGGGGGTTTACTTAGTCTTGTTTCATTGAAAAACTTTGGTTAAGCTTATGAATACTGATTACAAGAAATTAAAATTTTCATGATATTAATTCCTATTACTATTCCTGGAACATAAAGAGAAACAGACCTAAATAGGTGTTAAGGGGAGTCAATTGAAAATGTTAATGCAAGTAGCGATTTCTTTCATTTTTACTTTTTTATTCCAACTGCCCTCTCTCACCGGTCTGTTACATTTCAAACCCATCTGTGGTTTGTACCTTGTTCAGCCTTCTGCATTGAAGAATCACCGCCTTTATCATGTAGCAGTACCATCTCCAGTGTTTGTGTGGTGCATGTGGGGTGTCAGTCAGTGCATGGACCCGACTTCAAAGGAAGTGTGTCCCTTATCAACCTAATAAGAAGTTGCTGACAGTTTTATGTTAATTAATCCAGCAGGCCTTGATGTTCTAAAAAGGCATTGAGAGATGTTTTTGTTTTCTTATTCTTTACTTAGAGTTAGTACATTCAGTTCCTTTTGGTCAAATAAGGTCCAAGATAGCGTCCTGCTTGGCTGGTCTGTATGTAAGGAGGTGCAACGCTGGACCTGCCGCCCCACCACTACTAAGACAGAGAGCTTTCCGCCCACTGTGCGGATGGCACACCCCTCTCCCTACCACTGCCTCTCTTAGAGCGGAGGAAGCAGTCAACATGGAAGCCACTTCCAGGGAGGACAATGGGTGTCACTTCTCATATCACACGTAATTATGTTGAATAGGAACCTTATGAAGATACTCATTTCTCTGTAAAGAATCCTCTAATTTTAAAAACACCACGAGATTCACTTTTACGTCCTCTCCTCTTCTGATCTCACTCCTTATCTGAGCTCACTGCTCTGCAAATCCACCACCCCATGGGCTTAATTCACCCTTGATTTGGGGATGCAGTGCTCCCTTCCCTGTTGAAAGAACAGTATCTATCCAGCTTATCCAAGAGCATTAATTCCTCTTATTAATTGGTTATGTGTATAGAACCACATCACATACCCTTAAAGTCCCAGCTGCTTGTATGTCTTTTTAAGACCATGTGTCAGTACTTGAGTATTTGAAACATGGGTGTCAAAGAAAACAAAATAAGTAACAGGTAGCCTCACACTGCTCTGTGGATGGGTTTCACCTAAGACCCACTGGGTGTTCCTGAGGCTCCCAAAGGCACCTGCCCCTGGAGTTGCTAAATGGCCTTGGGCCGCCTGTGCCCCACCCTGGAGACTTTTCCCTTAAGGCCTTTAGGACCTAGTGTCCCATTATTCCCTCAGCAAGTGCCCTTCAACATAGAAGAGGCAGAAAAACTGCCTGTCTGCAATCTCTTAAGCATAGCTTAGTATTAAACATGAGAAAGCTGACAATCATTTGATGTTATTTCTGTTGAGTTATTATAGAGGACTTTCAATGAAGTAACACGATTTAGTGCCTTTGTGAATGTGGCAAGTCAGGGGAGCCTCCAGTGGGACCAACATTGGTCCTTAGAGGAAGATATGTATTTCTAAGCTAAGATTTAAAGGGGGCAAGAAGGAGGCAGTCAGGAGAAGGAGAGGGGTGAGGGCAGAAATGTATTCTAGGCAAGGCTAAGGCATATGCAGATCTCAGGTTTGCTCTGAGTGTTGTTGAACTAAACTCTCCATGGGATGGAAGGAGCCAAATGTAGAAGTATAATAAACAGCCATGCCCCAGACTCTTGTGTGAAAAAGGTGTCCTTGTCAAGCCAGAGTGAATAGGCAGCCCTGTATAGATTAACCTCCTCCAGAAAAGGTAATAATCCTCATAGACACCATCAATTTAATCATGTCTTCAGGTCATATGGCAATCATAAAAAATACATAACTCGACTGAATTCACTGCCTCCAAGATAAAAGGAAGAGTTTATTTTCTATTAATGTGTGTTGTTAATACTATCGGCCAATCGGTCACATTCTTTGAATAGACATACTGTTTAAAGCATTAGGCTTGATGGGATATAAAGTGTTAAATAAAAGAAGTTCATAGTATAGTCAGAAAAGCATACTGTGTGTGCGCACACGCCCCTCAGGAGTCACCACAGAGAAGACACAAGCATGGCCATGGGGCAGCACCCACCGGGAGTTGGCAGAGTTCGCGGGGGAGGGAGCGGACCAGCCCTCCCCAGGAGCCAGCTGACAGTTTGCACACAGCGTGTTCATTTTCAAGCCAGTAAGGGTTGTCACTCCCAGATGTCACAGAGCAAAACATCTCCTCCTCCCCAAACCGTGAAGCTGGATTCTTTGGGGTATAACTTTAGATTTTAAAACTTTAGGCAGAAAGAAAAGAGATCCTTCAGTCATATGCCTTGAAGGCAGAGGAAAAGATTGTGAGGCTTGGTAGTGTGACAGAGGACTCTCACCAGACAATACTATTGGGCTTGAATATCATGGGTAGTGTTATGCTAGGGGCTAACCTTAAAGAAGTATTTAAAGAATAGGCTGCTGCCCCATGTCAAAAAACCGGCAAGTCAATGTCTGTTGTATTTATATGTTTTATGTTAAAATGTTGAGGTGTGCAAACTTGTGCTCTCAATCTAACTGACTTTTGTGATTAAGTGGCCTCCTGGTTCAGGCCAGGTAGGTTAGGAGAGTCACTGCTTAGCTGGGGAGACATAATATATAAACAGAAAGGCAAACACAAGGTAGCCTCTGATAAATGTTGAATCAGTAGCTATAATGAAGTTCAGATGCAGGAGGGGTCAATTTGGGCTACAGTGACTGGGTGGGCTTCATGGCTGAGGGAGGAAGAAAGAAAAGTTTTACTGATTACCTACCATGACTCGGTCATTATATATGTAGATTGAAGGGGATGTAGAAAAAAGGGGGAAGGCTAAGTCATCACTTCACACTGACTAGGACAAGAAATGAAACAAAGGAAATAATAAAATGTGATGCATTCTAATATTAAAAGACTTTCTTGGTCATTCAGCAATGAGAGGTTATAGCCAGTGAAGGCTTAGTCTTGTCTTAACACTGTCTTATGTTTTTTTATTGTGCTCTATGTTTAAAGAAATGTTGCTTAGCTCTTTGGACCAGAACTGTATTTTAATTTCAATCAGCCACTATTAGAAAAAAATGCAGATGTGGCTATATGAATAAACATTCAGCTATCTCCACTTGCCGTAACAAGAGGCAAATATTATTTCTCCTTTAATTAGGCAAAACCTGGTGACAGTTTCATATTCTAAGATATGAATTTTTAAGAAATGAATTTTAACCTTTGTCTTTTCAAAATTGTTTCCCATGTTCACATTACAAAACTGGTTTGATTTTTTTTTTTTTAATTCTGTACCTCTACTTGTGGCACTGTTAGGAAAGGTCCAGGGGAGTTACTGTAAAACAGTTCTCCCGACTGCACCAGGAGAGCTTGAGAAAACTTTATACCAGTAGAAAATGGTTTATTCTTCAGTGCACTGAACTTCCTGCAAAGGGTGCGACAGAGGCTCCCTTAGCTGAGAAAAATGTTGGGTTTTGACCACAGAGAGACAGAGCACAAGTCCCTTTCTATTGACAGGGCTTGAGTTCTCCTGAGAGCCAGTTTCTCTGTGGATGGGACGGAGGTAACTGAGTCCGGCCATCGCCATGCAGTCGGTCCTCACCCCATGGCAGCGTGTGTGACGCACTGATCTGCCATTTTCAGAAGCCCTTCCGTTTTGTTAAATTCAAGATAGTGCTCATGCTCACGAGTCCAGGCTGGTGTTGGCCCCGATGGCGGACATTTGTATTCGTCCTCGCCATAACGTCATCAGGGTGACAAGTGCAACCCTGAGCTATCACAGGAGAGATTAGTGTCCCCTGGCAGTACCTGGTTTGGCTTTCGGCCTTTGTTTTGACCTCAAACGTTGCTCTCTCCGGCGCAGAACGTCACACTGGTTTCCGAGGGCCAAGCAGCACCTGTTTGTATTGCTGTCACTGCGTGTCTTGCCTCTTCTGTGTATGTGGTGTGTGTCTGCATCAGTCTGCTTCTGTTCACTTTCTCATTTGTAGAGAATACTGCAAACCACTCTGAGACACCGGCAGCTCCTGCTCCACCTCCTTCAACTCTTCCTAAGCCTAAACCCAAACCTAAGCCCCCCAAAACATCTGTGCCTCCAAAAGGGGCTGCTGCTGGGTCCAGCCCCAAGGGTGATGAAGTGCCTCCTATTAAAAAACATACCAAGGCTCCTGGTAAGCAGGCCCCCATCCCTCCACCCAAGCCAACAAGCCGAAACACGACCCGAGAGGCTGGTGAGTATGCCCCTGGTGGGGTTGAGTCTAGGGTGCTTGGCTCTGGGTGGGGCTAATTTTCTAGGGATGATGGCCTTTTTGATGTCTCCTCTCTTAGGATATAGCACCAGTGGATTCAGCTTTGACACAGAGAAAGCTCAGGAGATTCCTTTGTTGTGCTCTCCATCAAAAGAAAGTCAACCAGTTGATCAGTTGACCTCATTAGTTTGGGGGTGAATAGACCTCTTTCATCCTGAGTAGCCACTATCGGCACAAGGAGCATTAGAAGGAAATGGAGAAGTGTGCCTGATGAATGGCAAAGATCTGACAGGCCATTATTTAGACATCGACTGGCCTTCTGCCTGTTTGAGTTGATGGGGGGGACTTCTGGCTTGGATTTTCTTTCAAAATGTCTTAAGTTTGCACATAAGAATATGACACATATCTTTGACATATTTGCTGTATCATAATGTCTTAAGTCTCTCCGCATGCCTAGTCATTTCTCTATCCATAAATGACAAAGGTTGGTTCAGCTCCAGCCCACCACTCTATATTGAGTCATTATCATTTCAGCAGAGTTGAAAGTTAATGCTCAGGGTCCCCGCTTCCCCAGACAAAAGACTTCAATTTGTTAGAAGGAAAGCATCCTAGTGGTGTGGTTACAAGTCGTCGTTACCAATCACCAGGACTGGACTGCTCGGTGACCTACAGTATCTGCTTTCCATTTAAATCAGATATGCTTAACCCAGAGGGAGTCCCTAGTGAAGTGGAATGAAGACGCCTACCATGCCATCCAGCTTCAAAAAGACATGAATTAAGTACACCTGCTGGGTGTTTTTTTTTCTTCCATTAACACATACATAAAAATCCTCCTGTGTTATAGCAAACCTTGTTTTCCCTAAAATCAGCAACTTTCTCACAGTTGGCTACCAGGATTTGCCTTGGTATTGATCTTTTCCCCTGTGTAATCCATAACCCTTAAGGCTCAAATTTAGAGAATGGCTTAGTGGACGTTATGACGGACCTCTGTGTGTAAATGGATGTCTCTCTCTCCGTGCCCCTCTCTTCTGCTTTTGACCTTGTGTGTCTGGGTCTCTTCTAAAAAGGGCAAATCGGAAATGTCTCAGAACGCTGTGCCAACAGTGTGCTCAGGCCATTTCCTCAGGAGCAGATGCTTTTCTATGTCAGCGTCCATTCCTGTGGGTGTCTGAGTTCTTCCTAGCGCACCCTAGTACTGGTGCTTGAAGTGAGGCAGCTTCTGACTCACTTCGTAAAGAAAAGCCCCAAACTGTTGCCCCATCCTTAGGAATTAAGACCCCGCCTATACATGCCTGCCCTCTCCTCGTGCCCCACATGATAGCAGCTCGCTATTGGCTCAGCCTGGACTCTGCCTTCTCTCCAAAGCAAGCCAATGAATGTCAGGACAGGGGACAGCTTCCATGAAAGATTTTTGAGCTATTTCCAGATATTTTGCTTGAAGATTTTTTTACAGACTCATGATGTTCCTAAGAGAATAGTATGGTCATGTTATCCATTGTATTAAGAGGCCTGATTCGTCCACAGTATATATATAAGAATGTTGCTGTTCATGAAACGGGTTGCATTGAAGTGCACTAACAGGCCATCCGTCGCACAAGAATCTTTTTATCAAATATTGATAACACTCCATCAGAAACCAACTGGTATTCCATTTGTAACCATTTAGAACTTTCTACATGGTAATGTTTCATTCGGATGTTGACCTTTTGGGAAGTTATTGCAAATGCTCTTGATTTTCAGTCAGATGTTTTTAAGTTCTTAACGAAAGGTATCAGTTAAGATTCCGCCTCATTGCTTAATCAGTATACATCTCCAGATGAGCAGGTATCTGTTTGGCATATTCAGCTGCTTTACCAGTGTAATAAGACAAAATGTCCTGTTTTTTTCTTTCTCATACAGTGTTAGGCACTGTATTAACAACAAAAGTAGTTTACTGAGGAGAGGTGGCACTTTTTTAGTCATAATCTTAGAATGACTTAAGCAACATCATTGACTTCAGCAAAGGTCATTTTAGAATAAAAATGTAATATGGCTTGGATCTGCTCTCCAGACATTTAAAAAAAAGGTTTTTTCCCCTTTAAGTCAGGTTAAAGTCAACTTTGTTGTTAGAAAAGGAAAAATTTTCTTTAAAAAAATTTATTGGAATTGATATGTGGAAGAGATTATGCTCAGTTTACCTAAGAAAATAATTAAGCATGTGTAGACATCAAACCATTAGCATCTCTGTTGTGAAAAATAAATTTAGAATCGACTTAGGTTGTAGGAGTTTGCTTAATATACCTGTCTTATAAGCAAATGAAGATTGTTAACTTCAAAAAAATAGTATTAACCTCAGGGCTGGCTGGCTCCAGGCAACCTGTTCCTAGGGCCAGAGTCTATAAAGAGAGAACTAACTATGGAAAAAATAGTATTAACAGACCCAGACTTGGACGAGGGTCATTCTAGTGATTGTGCGTATATAAAATAATAAAGCCCCTAGCTATAGAGACTTCTTGTAAGCCTGGATCTTGTCACCAAGTGAGACTGGCTTCTTATATATCAGAGTTGGTGAAGTCTTATGTCTGTTGTCTAGTCTTACTTGTTCTTCATCGCTTGACCCTGCCAATTGACTTCATTAAGGTTATCAGAGGTAAGTTAGAATAACATGCATATGCAATGCAGATTAGCCTCAAAATACTAACAAGATATTTTCTGATAGCTCTGTGGAAGACAGTTTACTGCTCATAAAAAAAAAAAAAAAAAAAAGGAACATACAACATTATAACAGAAAAAGCAATTAGGAGAAATAAGGAGGTCACAAAGGTTGCAGAACATGTGTGTGTTCTCATAGGAGTTTAAATATATGTCCTAAGGTGATATATAAAGAAAAGGGGGGCTGGCCAATGGCTTGGTTAGAGGCAGGCCTCTCCCGAAGCAACAAACCTGCTGCCATGCAGCCAGCCCCTTGAGGAGCCTAAGCAGTTGTCAGAAGTTCTGACAATGATACTCTCTTCCTTCTAACTAGTCAACAATATCACTTAGACATTTTTTTGTAGAAAAGAATTTTTTCTGAATTTTGATGCTTTGCAGGGACTTGTCTTTTCTGTGGCCCTGTGCTTGCCCTCTGCCCCATCACCACTGCCCATGGAGGTACGGGCCGGCTTGGCAGGCTTCTCCCGGGAGCCACGCTGAGAGCCGAGTTAGAGCTCTCTCTTAGCACTAGGATGAGTACAATTGCTTTAGGCCCAGAAAGGAGCTGGTGGTACATACCCCAGCCTCCCTGAATGTCGGCCACGCTGTGCCCAGGGAGACACCGTGGAATATGTTTAACTTGTGATGAGCTCAACCTTGTATCATCCCCAGACAGACAGCTGCCGGTGTCTGTCCTGTACACACGATAATGTCCCTACTTTGCAGCAGGAGGGGACTTTTTCAGGTGACCCATAGGAGAAGGAGCTGAGGATTTCTCTTTGGCTGGCCCAGATAAAGCCTAGAGGAGAGAGAGGGCTGAGGACTCTTGTCCCTTCGGGTTTTGCCTCAAGCATCATGTACCCCCCTGGACTGGAGGCAGGGAAGGGGCAGAAAACAAAACCGTTATTATTATTGGCCTATTTTATTTTATTCACTTATTCACCACATTTAAAAATGTTACAGGGAGTGTTGTTGTCGACCATTGCAACTCGATTAGTTTAGTCTGAAAGTGTCATCTTCTTTGACTTTTAATACAAAACCTCTCTATTTTAGCTGGCTCCTCTCATTCAAAAAAAACAACTGGCTCCAAAGCCTCAGCTTCACCATCTACTTCCTCCACCTCATCTTCTCGCAAGACTTCAAAGGAGACAGTTTCTAGCAAAACAGGGACAGTGGGAATCACTAAGGGCAAGAAAAAAACTGGCAAGCAGCCAACGCCTCAACCCGCCTCAGACGCAACCACTTCTGGAACCTGCGACCTTAAAGGAGAGCCTTCAGAGACCAAGGTGGAGACTGAGCGGACTGTCCCTGGGACCGAGGAGCCGGAGCCGACCCCGGGCAAATCCAAGTCCGCAGTCCCTCCACCCCCGGTGGCCCCTCCCCCGCTGCCCCCCGCCCCTCTCCTTGTTCTGGAGGAACAGTGCATTTTTGCCTCAGACACTCCAGTTGTCCTGGTCACCAATGGAGCCGACCTGCCCATCCCTGCCTTAGACCCCAGCCAGCTTCTCTGGACTGAAGAGCCGACAAGCAGAACCACTGTCCACTCAGGCACTGGCTTAAGTGTTAGCCGAGAAAATGCAAAATGGTGAGTCGGGGCCCAGCCCCACATTCCGCCTGCGCTCCCTGTGCGGCTGAGTACTAACGGGCACTAAGCCCTTCTGTTGGAGATGGAGGAGCTCACTTTGTTTTCTTTTCTAATTCAACCTAGTGATTGTTAGATCAACACACATGTCATCCAGCCATTGGTTTTTCATAGCCCTGCCTCAGGAATGCCATGGGCTGCTGGAGACAATGACATTGGTCCTCCTGACATATACACTTCAGATCTATGCCTTTCAAGTGCTTTTAGAGCCTACCTCACCGCTGCTCAGCAGTCCTTTTTCTTTTCCTTAACTCGTTCCCTTCTCCTTCCTTGCAGTGGTCGTTTTAAATCTTTACCACTTGTGTAAGTGGCTCACCTACTCTTGCCTACCTTCATTTCAACAAGTTATTTAGCCTTCTTCTCCAAGAAAATAAAAATTATCAGGGAAGAACTGTATCAAATTCCATCTCCTTTTCCTCCCACTTGAGAGTGGCTCCATTTCTTTCTTCCATAATTCCCCACCCAACTTATATGTTACCTGCTCTGTGAAGCCTAAGGATGCTCATCCAGACAGAATTTGTTATTGCATCTATTCTGCTCTGAGAGCCCTTTCTCCTGCCTGTGGGACAGAATTAACCAACATGTCACATTTACCTCTTTATCCCCAACAACCAGTACGGAAGCTGGTATGCCGCAGGCGTGCCGTCACCTAGCACCCAAGCCCAATCAATTCCCGTTCATCCTAGGGTTTTCATTCTCCTTTGTTCATTGCCTCTAGTTACAGAGTACTGTATGTTGTATGTGTTCTACTTAAAGGTAAGTAAACCACGCCGGCTCCCCTGTCCCACAGGTATGAAGGAAGGGCTGCCACAGTATAGACGCCATAACCAATCCTGTGCAGGCAAGACTTTGACCTCTTAATTCCAGCCTCTCTTCTCTTGTTTCTAAGAATAAAACCAAATTCACTCTTCAAATCACTTAATTTAATATTTCCTCTTTCAAAGGAAAATAATCTTAGTCATGGTAAAAAAAAAAAATGTTGTACATTGATTTAAGTTGATTGGGAGCAATAGACTACAATATTAACTTGGTTCAATTACTGATAATAATAACCTTCACTTATTGAATGCTTATTTAATGTCAGGAACTGTCAGATATTTAATTCATGTAAGTCTTCCCTGAACTATTTCCTGTTAATGGGTTAGAGAACTGATGGTGAGAGAAGCAAAATAGTTTGCCTAAGATTGCCCCAGGCAGGAGCGGCAGAGCCAGAAAGCAAATCCAGAGCCACACACGGAAGTTCGTGCCACATTTAATTGTATAAGTTTCCAAAGCAATTGCCTCCACTTCTGCTATTTGTGTGTGTGTGTTCGTTTCTTGCTTTTTTTTGGGGGGGGGGGGGGGGCGCGGTTATCATCTTGAGCACCATCATTTGAAGGAAAGCCAAGGAGTGATAAATGATGTTAAAATGCAAATTACTTTGTTTGGCATTTTAATAAATGCTATGGGAAAAGGTGATTTTGAAATGAATGGTTATGGTATCCCTAACACTTCGAGCACTTAGCAAATGTCTTCATTTATTTATAATGAGTGTTTTCCAGCATTGCAATCAATTCCAACCTTTAGATCCAAACAGACATTCTTTCAGCATATATTTTCGCTCACTCTCTGTGTGCTGGGCAGTGTACCAAGCACCAAAGATACTAAAGTGAGAAAGACATTATAGTTAACATTATTTCTTACCAAAATAACATCTAACATGACCATGAAGTATAAATATTTAAGATAGGCCTGTATTTAGGGAAATAGATTGAGTATATGGATTTATTTTTCAATATACTGAAGAACAAGGTACAGCATGTGAAGTGATTCCCTTGCCTTAAGCACTGAGAGAGCCAGTATCCAAAGGTGACCTGAGTGTCCAGCCCATCTCCACAGACATTTAGGGAAGACACTATATTGTGCTAAGCACCGCACTGGGGGCTTAATATCAGCCTTCAGCCCAAGTATTCGCAGGACTGTCAGACAAAAGAGCAGAGCATCTGTTCTCCATTTCCACTGGGACTATGATCAGAGAGAGCAAGCTTAGGACATAATTAGACATCGAGGTTTTTATAATAGATTTTCCTGTCACTCAAGGTAACTAGCATGCTTCCCTAGAAGAGAGCATAGAGATTTTTCTTCTCTGTATATTCTTCAAAATAAAGAAGTTAAATTACAGTCCATCCCACAGGGATGGTTTGTGTTTGCTCTTGAGTTAATGAGCCTGAAATAAGTAGTCTCTCAAATTTCCATCCAAATTCTTTCTTCTGTTTTTAAGTGGATATCTGAATTAGAATTTCTGGCTCTCAGTTACTCGCTTTACTCAGAACTTTCCCCCAGTTATGTTTAGTCAACGAATGTGTGAAAATCCTGTCATCTTATGAAGAGGCTTCTGTTTGGAATCCCAGTATCAGAACTTTAAAGAAGACACATGGCCATGTGTAAAAATATCTGCCTCTGTTCACATATTACAGGGTAGTAACTATTTGGTAGATTTTCTATTCACTGGCAGCTTCATCAGTAACGTGTGCGTCTGGTATAATTGAAGGCAGAAACTAATAAGCCCATCTGGAGCCCATATTCAAAAGGGACTTGAGTCTTTTTAGTCCATTTCCACAAACATTGGAGGAGTGCACTGTATTGTTCAGTGTACCCAGAAACATTCGAGAAGTAGGAGAGCCAAGTCATGAGTTGATTGATATAAATTTGAAGTATAATACTTAACATTAAATATAAACCCTAACATAATTTATAATAAGTATAAACAAAGTATAATAATAGCATAATATTTCATAGGTAGACAAAGAGACTTAAGTCTGGGTTCCAGACTGGACTTGCTTCCATGGCAGGGAAAAGGACTCATTGCCTTCCTGGGTTCCATGAATTATAAATTACCTGCCTGCTTTATAGGGCAGTTGTAAGTTGTTAATGTACGCAGAAGTCTTTGAAAACTGAATATTATAAAAGTGAGGTTAAAATAACAATAGATAACATTATAATAAATTAGTGAATCGTGGCAAGACACATACCAGGGCTCACCCCTGAGGTATCTTTGTTCTGCTCTTCAGAATGTGTTAATTAACAAGCACACCTTCTAAATGCGCTGGAGTCACCCACAGTGGCAAACAAGAATGGCCTCCAGCGGCAATCGACTGGAAATCCAGACAGAGGAGAAGTTTTCCCATAAAATAGATCTTTTCTCATTTAAAATGAGATTCATACTGTGGAAACAGGATAGCAGTTCCTCAAAAAATTAAATGCAGAATTACCATCTGATCCTGTAATTCTCCTGTGTATATTGCCAAAAAAAATGAAAGCAAGTACTCAGATATTTGAACACCAGTGTTCATAGCAGCATACTTCACAATAACTAAAAAGTAGAAACAACCTAAATGTCTGTTGACTGATAAACAGATAAATAAAATGTGGCATATACATACAATGGAATATTAGTCAACGAAAAAGGAAGGAAATTCTGACACATGCTACAACATGGCTGAACCTTGAAGACATACTAAGTGAAGTAGGTCAGACACAAAAGGACAAATGTACAGTTTCAATTATATGAAGCACCTAGAATAGTAAAATCCATAAAGGCAGAAAGTAGAAGGGTAGCGGCCAGGGGCTGTGTGGAGAGGAATAGGAAGTTTTTATTTACCGGGTACAGAGGTTCAGTTTGGAAAAGTGAAAAAGTTCTGGAGACCGATGGTGGCGATGGTTGCACAACAGTGTGAATGTACTTAATGCCACTGAACTATGCCCTGAAAAATGGCTAAAATGTTCATTTTTTCGCCATGTACATTTTACACAATCAAAATGAAATTTTGTATTTTCTCCTTGAAAACAAGTATTCTGGTTGTAGGATTTTTCTAATGTGAAAAATAGAGAATTTTGAAAGCACTTGGGCTTGTAACCACAAAGAATTTGCAGCACCTTGGATTCTGACAAAGTGACTTTTAATTATACAAAAAACTGGTTTTGTCTTTCTTAGTTAGTGAGAACAGCAAGCACATGTTTTGCACTGACTGGTCTTTCAGAATTGTGGCATCCAAATTTGGATTCTTCTGTTTATATCAGAGAGCAATTTGAGGATCTTCTGTGTCTTAAAATGAAGATTACATTGTTTTCTATATGATTTTTTATATAAAGTATATATTTGTATACTAGTCTATGAAAAGTGGCAAGCTTTGCATATTTATAGTAACTTTATATTTTAATTTTACTTTTCATATACAGTCGGCATTCAATATTATACTAGTGTCAGGTGCACAGCATAGTGGTTAGATGAGCATATACTTTACAAAGTGTTCCCCAAATATTTCAAGTGCCCATCTGACACCATACATAGTTATTAAATATTATTGACTATGTTTCCTATGCGGTACTTTACATCCCTGTGACTATTCTATAACTGCCAATTTGTCTTTCTTAATCCTTTCACCTTTTCACCTGTTCCCCAAACCTCGCCCCTCTGGCAACCCTCAGTTTTCCCCTGGATCTATGAGTCTGTTTCTCTTATGTTTGTTCATTTATTTTGTTTTTTAGATCCCACATATAAGTGAAATCATATGGTATTTGTCTTTCTCTGGCTAGCTTATTTTATGTAACATAATACCTCCTAGGTCCATCCAGTAAGATTTCATTCTTATTTATGGCCAAGTAATATTCCATTGTGTGTATGTACTTTAAACCAGAGGCTCTTACCAAGCTAAATAATAGAAAATGATTGCATCCTTAACCTAAACTTCTTCTAAAGAAATTTTAGCTTCTACAGGTTTAACGTCCACACTTTCCACTTCATATTATTAATATAGTCCTAAGACTATAAAGTTGATAAACTTTAACTCAGCTTTACTAAAGTAAGTTTATAAATGGAGAAGCTAAGCACAGAGAGATGCATGATTATTTCATTGTTGACACACTGGCTGTGAGGAAAATAGGATTAATTCATACGGCAAATAAAGAAGATGGACTTTTCTGTGTCACTACATTTCTAGGTGTTGGCCTGCAAAACAATGTGAGTCCTACTTGTACAGGAACTTTGCAGGCTGGGAAGGCAAGCAAATGGTGACTGCGGTGCAGTGCGCCCGCTGCTGCAGTGGGGCTGTCCTCTGGTCACCGTGGAAGCAGCGGGGAAGGGCAAGGACCTAGTCTGACAGCCAGTGACAGAGGCCCAGCAGAGCTGAGGCTTTCGCGGAGCCTTGAAGGATAAGTAGGAGGTAGAGGTCACAGAAAAAGGATACCCTAAGTCAGCTCTTCAGGAGCTTCCGGCCTGTTGGTCTTTCTCAACCCCCATTGCTACGGAAAACTTAATTTGCAAAATATAGTTTTACCATATCCATGTACTAACTATATCAGACACCACCAGTCAATCCTTTTCATTTTACAGGTGAAAAATCTAAAACTTTGAGAATTAAGTCATACGTACTGGTCTTCCATTTCAGTGGCTTAGCTGCCCAATGTCTGCTTTTCGCCTTTCGCCAGCCGGAAGGATGCTCTTAAAACCAGCACTCCTTCTTACGGTCTGGGCAGTGGCCCTGAGGCTGCCCCCAGCTTCACACCACCCCTGTGTTTCTGTGCCTTTAACAGTTTCACAACCAAAGATGAGCTGGGAAAGGCAGCACCTCAGCTGCTGGCTCCAGGGCTGATGGGAGAATCTTCAGAATCCTTCTGTGCCCTGGAGGATGAAAGCCAAAGGGAGTACCGGGCCAATGACTCAGACTCGGATGGGCCTATCCTGTACACCGATGATGACGACGACGAAGAGGATGAAGACGAGGATGGCAGTGGTGAAAGTAAGACTTTTTCTCAGGAGGCAGGGAGGGAAGTGGGTGGTGGGCAGGAGCAGCTTTGTTTTGTAAAGAATAAAAGCCTTATCGGGAGCTAGACTTCTGACATTCGCTTTCCCCTTGTACTCCTTTCTCAAATTAGAAACGTGTGTATCCCAAGGTTTAGCTTTTGATAAAAGGCCTTTCTAAACGATGATTCTGTGGGCGGTGAGAGGCACATTTGTGTTTGTCCAAAGAGGCAAAGCTTCCTAATAACAGAGTCCTCTCTCAGGATGGTCTAAGACAGCCCTTCCTGGGGACTTTTCTTGAATAAAAAGCATCAGTGCTGGATTCCCTGGATTACTCATTGGAAATGTTTTGAGAGTTTCAGTTATTCTTATGCTGGGGTTTAAAGAGAGGGGAGGGAGGAATAAGTCAAAAGTGACAAATACTCTTTACAAATTAAAAACACTCATCCACATAAATAAGATAGTATGCTTTCTAGTAAGAAATGATAGTAAAGAAGGTAAAGCCAACCATTTATGAGTAAATTAGGGAACTAGAAAATTATACACACACACACACACACACACACACATCATCATCATCTTCTAAGCAGGATGACTTTGGAGGGATTCATTGTAGAGTTAAATTTATAGATTCTGAAAAGTTATTAGCATATTAATGATTAAACATCAGTTTGTCAAATTTCTTTCAGTTTCTACTGAACAACACCAAAAATTATCATCCATCTGGTATTAACTGTCATTTGTAGAGATGTCTGGGATCTCTGGGTAATTTAGGATTAAAACTTGAGTATCAAAGGTAGACTTGTGCCAGTGTGGTTTCTGGGCAGAGGAAAAGGGAAGACAGGAATTTCCTGTACAGCGTAAGTAAAGGGACTAAATTTTTAAGACCCGAAAAAGAAAAGAAAAAAAAGGCACTGTGCAATCAGTAGTTTCCAGGGTGCGCCACCTCAGCAAAATAGACTTCAAATATCACTTTCCAAATGATGTGGCGATATTTCCAAGTTTTTCATGGTGCCCCAACATTTTCCAGAACGTTTTTAAAAATAGTTCTTCAGTTTTTCAAGATGAACTACATCCAACTCAAAACTATTTTTTCCCCTTGAGCTAATTAAAATTCCCCTCACACATGTGGACAAAGAAGTTGGTCTGGACTCAGTTTAAAGTCCATGCCACTTGTAACTTGAGTGCCACTTGCTAAAATCCTCTGTCTCTGCCTTTCTGCCTTTTTTAATCCTCAGGTGCTCTGGCAAGTAAAATCCGACGACGGGACACCCTTGCTATCAAACTTGGTAACAGACCATCCAAAAAAGAACTAGAGGACAAGAACATCTTGCAGTGTACCTCTGAAGAAGAGAGGCAGGAAATCCGACAACAAATTGGAACCAAACTAGTCAGGTAATTGCTGAAATTCCAGTACGGCGCTGACTAACGCATACTTTTCCCCCTCCAGTAGTTTCCAACCTGAGGTCATTGTGAATTTCTTGTGTAAGGACACACATGGCCTATCTGGTCTTTTAAAGTTGGCCCTCGATGGCAAACCACTCAAAGGACCTGCCCTTCCGTCCAGCTAGTCAGTGCCTCTGAGGTTGCCAAGGCCTGATCCAAGTGCTGACACACTTTTTCTATAAAGGGCTAGTTCATAAATATTTTAGGCTTTGCTGGCCAGAGGGCCTCTGTTGCAGCTACTCAACAAAAGCCGCCATAAACAATACATGAACAAACGAGTGTGGCTGCGTTCCACTGAAATGTTATTCATCCAGACAGGCGGCAGGCCTCGTTCAAGGACTTACCAGCATTCCTGTCCCGGCAGTTCTGTCCAGTGGGCCAGGAGACTGGAAAGTAGTAGTTAGCTTCGATGGCAAGCTCCAGCCAAGTCAGGTAGCCACAGCCTCGGTATCAAAACTTCCCTCTTTTAACTTCAGATAATGGACATCTGACTTCTCTTCCTGCCTCCAGCTCTTGGATGGTATCTGCTTTCGCTACTAGTGAAGCTGGAAGTCTGTTTCACTGGCAGTTTAAATAGAAATGAGTGTGGAAGCTCTCGTTTTTATGACCAGTTTAAGCATGTTTCAGTATGGGGTATTGTTCTGACTTCTCTCACAACAGGGTGCATAAATTGGGAGAAGGGAACAGTCTGGAAGACCAGAGTAGGATTTGTATAATGTCGTAGAGGGGTAAAGAACCAGGAGTCTTTAATTCACTCTTTCAGGAGAAATCTAACACCCACCTTCAAGTTACCATTTTAATCAGTTATAAGATATCAGAAGTTGGAGGAAAGAAGGTCATCCTAGAGGGAGGAAACTCTACAATAAAGGAAGGATGATGTGTTTGGGGGTGACACCGGACAGATGTTGTACAGGATACATGGGTACATGGATGGTATGACTTCTGTCTGGCAGAGATGGTCACTAGGTTTTTATGCTCTCAATTACTTAAGTTAATTTCAAGGGAGCTCAGATGAAGATTAAACTTTAACAAAATTTTAAGAGATATTTAAAATGTTATTGATTCCAATTCTTCCTAACCTCTCTGTCACAGCCATAAAAATTTAGAATTGATAGTATCTACATTAAAATTACCTTTTCATGTATATTATTAGTTTAATTTGCACAAACTCAGACTACATCCAGAGGAAGTTTTTGTCTGTGATTAACAACAAATTAGTAATGGAAACAAGACCAAGGGCAAAGTGAGAAAGGGCTCATAGGACATTCAGCTCCTCCATACAAATAGCTACTAATCACAAATGAGCCCAGCTTGTCTTGAAGGCAGACGGGAAGGACCTACATATCTCAAGATAACTGTGCTAGAAATTCATTTCAGGTCACAAAAGCAGTATTTCGCTTGAAACACTATGCAGTGTAGATTGATCATCTCCCAAGTTGATGTGAACTCAAGCAGCAGCCTTTTTTATATCCAAATGACTGTACATGAATTAGGGAAATGCTAAGCTGTTTTAACAGAGATGAAAACATGCAGTGGTCCAAACAAGGCACTTCCACATGTTTATTTCTTATTTATATAACCATCTAGAGGTAGGTGGGCTGTCCAGCATGGCTGGGGAGAATTGCTCCTTGCAGTAAGCCAGGTACCCAGGTTTCTGCTCTCGTGTTGCTTTTCCCTCCTCTTGGATATTCTCATCTACATGAGACAAGCTGGCTCACTGACCTCGTTTAAGTTGTAGCCTTTAGAAAAAGAAGAGATAAAGAAGGGAACACACACACAGTAATTTTAAAGGCAAAAAGTAGAAATTACAAACACCATTTCTACTCATACCCCATTGGAAGAACTTGGTCCTATAGGCACAGCTTGCTGCTCGGGAGGCGGAGGGCTGCAGCTGGGGGAGCCAAAGCTCAGGGGCTTCTGTTCCTGAAAGGATGAGGGATAATGGATAACGGGGCATAGTTAGCAGTCTCAGCCACACTCCCTAGTCTCCAAATTAACAGAAAGGACACTTTTATAAGTGTAAAAATTGATTTTTGTTTCTCAAAACATGAAAAAAAATTAGCTTTGTTGATTGTCTTATTTTGTGTCTCCTGCTAAGGGGGGCCTTGTTGTAACCTGCAGTCTATCGTTTTTGTCATCATAGGAGACTTAGCCAGAGGCCTACAACTGAAGAATTAGAGCAAAGAAATATCCTAAAACGTGAGTATCCTGTACTAGGCAGTGATTCCTTGTAAGCCATTAACAAGCGTCCTCCAGAGACAATCCATTTATCAATAGGAAACCTTAGTATATTTATTCACAAATGATTGAAATGGCCCATTCATATCACATTTATGTGTCATTATTTATATAATTTTCAAAATAGATTCTTGAAGTTTGCATTTCATTTCATGGCTTTGAGCCTGATATCCACCAGACCAGAGTCATGCTTGTGACAATTGTTTCTAAGGACAATGAAATATATTCCGTGTATTCTTTCACCCAACTATTAAGTAAAAGAAAATGCTCTAGTCGGCTTGCAAATACATGTCAAAGAAAAGGCCAGAGATTCCACAAGGAAATGAATCAAACATTCCTATATTATTATTAATAATACAGTTTGTTGCCAGGTTTAACAGATGACTCAATTTAAAACAGAATCGTGGTAAAAGCAATTTTTCAATCCATTTCATTTCAATCCATTTCATTTTCCTTTGTTATGATAACTGTTTCCCTCTTGAGTTATTTATAATTTTTCAGCTCTTACGGAGTTCTCCATTCATTTTCCCGCTTCATTTTCCCATTTGATTTTTCCCTCTATTTTGTTTGATTTGTCTTTTCACTCACCAGTCCAGTCATATTTAAGTTATTAAAGTTCATATGTTAAAGCTATAAAATGAATGGAAGCACAGTTTGTTGCGTAGTAGTGTATCGATGTGGTTACTAAGTACAGAGAGTTAAGTAATGGGTATTTTTAAATTGGGCTACTGTAGTTTTATATATTATTAATCCAGTTTCAAGGGAGCTTTTTGTTGTATGAAATATCAAAAAGCAGGAATGGGCAGAACTCCAGATAGTAACACCATAGTAAAGAGCTACTGATACGCAGTAAATCTTCAACCAGGCTTTAGAGTCGAGGTGGCCTGCCTGGATGATCCCTATTTTCCAATCTGAGTTGTTTTCTCTCCTCAAGGAAAGAAGGGTTTTAATAGCACAGTTATACCGCAGTTACTATTACTAAAACAATTCAACAAGGACTGAAGAGTTAGAGGAATTGCCAGTGTATGGGAATTTTTTCCTTGGAATGTTTTTTGTCTGGCCGTTTGCGAGCATAACTGGGATAGAACCCAAGAAAGGACTTAAATGACCATCAATGTATACAAGAGCCAGTTTGGAGAGGGAAAACGTCATGGCTAGAAAAGAAAAAAAAATGTTTTAGCTTTCTCAAATAGGATGAAAGCAATATCTAATTAACAAAACCAAATGCAAAAAGCTCATGGCATTTGATAATAGGTTCCCAGAAAATATTTGAATTAACTTTTAGGTAAGCTCAAGTGCAGATCATGAGCTCTTAAAACACAGATTATTTTTATTGGATGCCTGATTTAATACCTAGACAAAAAGGAAGAATGAATTATGGGTAACTTTTTCTTGCTCCTGTGAGACAAATAGTGCCAAACCACGTTGGTGCGTGGTTTTTTAAGGAACTGTATCATGGATCTAGAAATTTATCGCACATTGATCTTAAGTGCTGTGTTGGCTTTTATCTCCCATTTTCCTGGAGGTTCGGGAAAGAGTGAAATGCCAAAGTCAACTTCAGATTTGACTTCAGCCCTTATTTACTTCCTTTTCAGTTTGTTTAAGCATGCTTTTTCTGGAAACAAAAGACACATTTGCAGTCTGGAGAGGCCGATAACTGGCTGAAGATCTCCTGACATAATATTGTATGGCCAAGGGAAGCAGAAAAGAGACCTGGTGGAGGCCATCCAGGGCAGAGCTGAGGACACTTTATTTCAGCCCTGCTTGCCTTTCAGTTCTTTCATTTGTTTGTATGTCTCATTGCCAGCTTTTGTTCCAACGCAGTATGATTGTCTTATTTGGAGAAAAGTCTTTGTGTGACATGGTGTGGTTTTTAAGGACACTTAGTTTAACTAGGTCATCTTTTCTTGACAAATTAGGGAACAAATTCACAGAATAAAACATTCAGCAGTTTTCGAATTCAAGTCCATCACTAGTTCAGTAAACATAAGTCAGATGACAGTAAAAGCTGGTAACTCTGGTGACACAGGACAAATTTTATGTCTTAATATCATTCCTTGTATCACAACCTATTATTTTTATTTCTTTCCTATTTTAGTGCATCTAGCATTTTAAAATACATGTAAAGTTATATTTAGCTGTACACTTTAGAACCAGTTCCTTAAACTTGTTAAAATAGAAGGCAAGTTTTGATGCTTAAAAGGTCAACTCTTGCCTATCAAGAAAAGTGATATAGATGGAGCACCTTTTACAGGGCAGGGATGAAAGATAAAAATCCTCTTATGCTAAGTAGCTGCGATTGTAATTCCAGCTATATCTTCTATAGGGAAAAAAATGTATTAAAGCCCATTGAGTTATGCATATAACATTTTATATTAAAATTTTTAATCATACAGAAAAGTTAAAAGAATTTTACAGTAAACACCCGTGTATCTACCATTTATATTCTGCCATTGACATCTGCTCTATCACATTGTGTTCTATCACTCTCTCTCTCTCTTTTTTTTTTTTTTTTGGATGTATTTCAAGTAGGTTTATAAGTATATTTTCATTTGCTAAAAACACCCATACAGAAACATGTTAAAAAGCCAAAAGAGAAACAAACCCACAAAAATGGCCTTTTAATATCCATTTTATCTGAATTGATGCCTCAAGAATATAATGCTTCAGTTGCTGGTGTTTCATTGTTTTTCTTTGTTCTTTCACTCATCCACAAAATGCTGTGGGCAACCCTTGCACTAGGCACCTCCCCCGTGGTGCCTGCCCTGTTAAACCTCCTGTATGGCCTGTGTGTTTATGGCAAATGCTTCCTGTGGCTCTTCTGAAATATCCGCCGCTCTCTGCTCTGGTGAGAGTTACTAAGGGCAAGATTTGTCAATGAGCCACATCACTTCCTTCATGAATATTCCTCCAGTCTGTTTGGAGGGACCAGAAAGGTTTATTTACATCCTACTTTATAATTAGCCCTCTAATAAATAAAAAAAAAAAAGGAGGAAACATCAAACAACCTCAGTGAATTTTTTAAAACTAAGTTTAAGGTTTAACCTTGAGTCTTTGTAAGAGATTTTACAGTGACTATTTAATGAGACTCAGAAGAACCGTTGCGCTGACTTCCCTCCACCTATAACCCTCTTCCTCTAACTTTGTTAGAAGCATAATTTCAAATATGGGAAATGAAAGAAAGTCAGCTCCTGATGTTAAGAAAGAATTCCCAAATGGTAAAATCATGTTTATTTAACTCCCCTAACTGTAATTAGCCTTTCTTTAAAAAAAAAAAAAATTGACTGGCTGTCACATAGACATACAATATGCCCAATAGGCTATTTTTTCTAATATTCCCTTCAAAAAAATGACATTTTATGTATTTCACAAAAATTGGAGCATTAGTTTTGAGTTGTATTAGATATCTAATATTTTTGTCTTTGAAAAGTACCTTTAAAAATATAGCATAATCACTGTATAGGAATAATCGATTAAAGTGTTTTCAAAGATATATATTTTTATTATTAATATCATTAGAGGCCTGATCTTGTGAAACCCTAGTTTGAATGACATGAACCATAAGTTTGGTGTTTGGATTGTACAACCCACATGCTTTATCCAACTCACAAAAATAATTATTTGATCCTAAGGATGTATTTTAATGATACCAAGAGTATTTTCATAGCAAGAAATCTGAGTTATAATCAGATTTGTTTGACACTTCTCAGACACCTAATAAAAGCATGCTAACTGGTTGTTTCTTGTCTTGCCCAGTGATTTCAGTTCATGTTCACTCTTTGTCTAAAAAATCAGACTAATCATTCTCTTTCTTATAATTAAAATTAGTATTTCAGAAATATGTAGAAACTTTTCCCTGTCAAGATAAGGAAAACTAGTAGAGATTTAGCATGTTCAACCAACAAATACAGATGTTGCAAATATTGAATTCTAATAGTTTATTAACGATAAAAATAATCATTAAATGGTAAGAAGCCTATATGCATTTAGTGCCTATAGGCTTCTTAGTGGTAAGAGGCCTATATGCATTTAGTGCCTATAGGCTTCTTAGTGGTAAGAGGCCTATATGCATTTTAAAAATAAGTATAATTATCTTTTCGGAAAGGAGACTTCTTGTTCACCCTTTTAATTGAGATTTTACACAGTGTTTTCCTTCAATTGAATTCATAATAGCACTTTCTAAAAGGTAATTTTTTGTAAGTATTAATAGTCAATGTGTAAAATCCATGCTCATTTATTGAACAAATAATGAGCTACAGGAAGCAATAGAGAGAAGTTCATCAAATAAGCAACCATTAAAACCTGAATGGTATTTATTTCTTTAAAAGTTCTGGATATTTTTCTCTTAATCCTATATGTTAGACAGCTTTCATTAAGTTGGCCATTAAATTATACTACTTTATGAAGTACTAGAAAAAGAGAAGACTTGGGACAGGCAAAGTCATGAGAGAAAAAAATCATCTCCACCAACAGTACACTGCGGTCCCATTCAGAACATTCTGGGTCGAGGGCAGAGTCCAAAGAAATGACTACATTTTGCCCCTGTGGAAATCAAAGCAGAGAAACTGAGTATTTTAGTTGGATTTGATTGGAAATCAGCAACTCATACATGCATCAGATGGTTCTAATTTGTTCTTTGGATATATCTCAGATTTTCACATGAAGACCAGATCTAGAAGCACATGTTTATCCGAACTCTGATCATCTGTGCTTATAAGCCCACGAGATGATCAGCAATGAGAGACTTTCACCAGAATATGGGTACTCTTGTGGTTCTGTTGGAGTAGAATAAGAAATCGAGAAGCCAAAAGGTTTACAATTAGTAAATAAGCCAGTCCTTTAAGGAAAAAAATAATATATATGTATACATTAATTAATGTAATTTTCTTTACATTAATTAATGTAATTTTATATATCTAAATGATTGCTCTTTCTGCAAAATCTTTTGACAAGGTTTGTAAAATGTTGGAGTGTTGGATTAATTTCTGTTAAAGTCAAATAATTATGACCTGATCTACTTTTCTGATTGTAAAGTCATTTATAGTAACTAAGTCTCCATGCCTCCCTCTCCATTAATAAACAGAAAAGAATGAAGAAGAAGAACAAGAAGCAAAAATGGAACTTAAGCGCAGACTCAGCAGAAAGGTGATGAAACTATGACCATTAATGATTGTGTGTTTTGAGATTTGCTTCACTTTTTAAATGCAAATCAGTTTTCTACATGATTTAGGAATAATTATTCCCTATAGTTGACTAACTGATCATAGAAATGAAAATCAATGCAAAGAGTACAATATGATTATCTTTACATTTACAATAGCATGATATGTTAATTTTGATGTTAATCGAAAGTTTTAAAGTACATTTAATGATTATGAAACATATATTCTGTGAAAAAATTTCAATTCCAAAAGGAAAAAAAAACACAAACTTCATCCATTTAGAGATAATCATTATTAACCATTTAATGTTTAGTTTTTTAAAATGCTCACACTTCCCATGCAGTCTTGAAAATATTAAATAAATATTTTGTTACTACTGAAAGTTGACACTGTTCCATACCTGAGCTCCGTGAGTAATTTTTGTAAGTGGACTTGATCCTCCAGCCTGCCGACTGCAGCGCTACCCAAATTGACAAATGACTTACCCTGGGCCATTGTTTCCACCATTTATCAAAACCTAAAACTGATACCAGGGCTACCGCTTTTTTCTGTGTGTTAAAATAATAACAGTCTCTGGAAAAAACAAGCACTATCAGAGCTCTGATTTCATTTTGAACCTCTGTTTGGTTCGGGTGTGTCGTTCCCTCGCCGCCCCCGGCAGAAGGCCTGAGGAGCAAAGCAGGACGTGCCCGGTGAAGTGTGCGACCTCACCCACATCTCTCTGCGCTGGCTGGCAAGTCCCAACAAAAGCATCCTAAGACAGTTGGACAAAACACCCCATCCCCATGGAAAAGTTAGGGACTGTATTTTGAGAGGTTTTGGTTTTGATTTTTAGGGGGAAAGATCCTTTCTTCACCTCTTTTTTTTTCTCTCAAATAATCATCTAGCTGAAAAAGGCTGTAAACTGAGTTTCTAGAGATGGCTTTTCCAGCATTCAGCGGTCGGTAGGTGGCAGCTCCAGATAAAAAGTAGCCCCTCTTCCTTGCTCCAGGTTCACCCCTGTAGTCCTCTCAGTCCAGTTGGGCCCTTCCAGGAAGCCACAGAGCCTGCCCTTAACCCCTGTCCCCATGCGCCTCCACTATACAGAGCTCCTTGTCATGGGGCAGGACAGTCCATATCACTAATGGACTATCACTGCCCTATCACTGGCACAATCCTGAAGGGCAAGACTGGATGGAGAATTTCTAACCTGCAAGGCCATTGGTCACTTGGCTTTTGGGCAGTCCCCAGAGGCAAGGGTTTCTCCACCTCCTTAACCCCACATCCCTGGAGAGGCAGCAAGAATGTATAGATGATATAGTAACTGAGAGCATCATAGAACCACTCAGATCATTCCTTCCTTTGTCCCTGGCCCACCAGGGCGTTATGAACTAGAGGGGGCTGAAGGTGTCATATCCCAGCTCAGGTGGGCTCGGGGTAGACCCAGGCCTTCTACGGGTCTTTGAATGCCTCAAAGGTTAGAGCATTGACTGAACTCAGCCTCTGATTTTACTCAAGAGGAAACAATAGCCCAGAGAAGGGGATGTTTTTAACCACAGCGGCAGAGAGTTGGTGGTGTCTGTTGGCCAAGGGGCCGTGTCTCTTGAGTCTCAGAACCATCTCTGCCTTATTTGGGGGCTTGAGAAAGGACCCGAAGAAGAAAGCAAATGCACACAGGGCCGGGTAGATTACATACAACTCTAAATTCAAATCTGATGAAGGCCACAGGAGGGACCCGCACTATTACAAGTGTCCTAAAGGCTGCAGCTGATTTTAAGTAGTGAGCGCCCCACTGAGTGCAGTTCTCCAGCGAGTCCCCCCGCCTTGTTCCTGCGTATCAGCTTTTGTGGCCAAGACCTTGTAAATGCCAAGTCTGGGCCTGGGTGCTTAGCCTCTCATGGAAGAGTGCCCGTAGGCAGACCCTTCACTGGACCATTTCTTTGTCATAACTTTGTGTATTTCTGAATATACGGGTTTAATAAAATAGGAACCAGGCCTTTTCTTCTCATGTCCCGAAGCTGCAGGGCTTTGGTCTTGATCATTCCATCCCCAAATCAGCCGTCCCATATCTGGATTTTTATTGTGCCTGTGTTGCTTCATGTTTCCTGTGTCAGGGATGACAGGCGCCTTTATCACAATGCCAAGCAAGTTGGAGAAAATAGCATAATGCAGACGGTTGCCAAAGACTGTGACCTATCTAACAGTGACGATTTTTATAGTCTCAAAATTAGGGCACACTGCTTTCTAGTTCTTATTAGAAACTCCCAAGATGCTGCCGCCTTTTTTTTTCTTTTCTTTTGATATCTGAAAGTGACCTTATTTAACCATAATTTTGCAGTTCTGTATAGAAAACGTGCCACCCTGGGGCTGTAAATGGTTTACTGAACTCATCCTTTGTCCCTATTCTCCTGCAGCTCAGCCTGAGACCCACAGTGGCAGAGCTGCAAGCTCGACGGATCCTGCGGTTCAACGAGTATGTGGAAGTCACCGATTCTCCCGACTATGATCGCCGGGCAGACAAGCCCTGGGCCAGGTTGACACCTGCGGACAAGGCAAGAACTCCAGTGGCTTAACCATGATTTCCCTTATTTATGATCCGATTAGTAATATCAATGAAGTTCTTTCAACTTTGCCTCAGGAAAACCTATAATTTTCATAGTATCAAAAATGACTACATGTTTGGCCTCAGTAGTGTCTCCTGGGGCTTGTTTTTTTCAGTCTTAAAAATACCTAGTTTCAACTCAGTCCCTTTCCATTGATGGTCCAACCCAGCACCATTCAGGTTTCAGTCCCACTACATCAACCCACCTCTCTCTGTCCCATGTCTTTCAACAAAACAAGCCCCATTTACACTAATGCGAAGAGTTATTAGGCCTAAACTCTGGTCTTCTTTGCACAGAAGAGAGTTAAGATTATTGTAGATGTGTTTCACTAATATAGAGTGTCCCGATTGCTTTTCTCCCCTTCTCATAACAATCTCAGGAAATCTCTTTAGATAGTAAGAGGAAGTAACTCTTGGAGTAAAAGTATGGTCATTCGTTAGTGGACTTTTTAAAATGAGTATTACATTTCTTTAATTGGCTGTAGTCAGAACTTGCTGACATATTTTTTTTTCAAGCAGCCAGTTCCTATAATTTCACATCACATTCATTGCCTGGAACTGACTCATCATTTCAAATTCAAATGAGCACACACAACATGGAGATCTGAGGCAACTGTCTGGATGTGTTAGGCTCTGAAGCTCCTTTTATTGGGAAGAGCAGAGGACCTGAGGTGAGAAGGCAGATGCACGAGCCTCATCTCCGTCCCTTAATGTCCCTTCTGTATCTAGCAAGTGACTTGATCTCCATTTCATCACTTGTGAGATGAAAGTCTTAAAGGAGTTTTCGGAGTATCAACTGCTTTGTAACAAACCACCACAAAACTTGGTGACTTGATACAACCATCCTATTTCGCTCAGTTTTGTGAGTTAGGAATTTGGGAAGGGGTCAGCTTAGCAGTTTGTTTCTGATCCATGTGGCATCATGTAAGGTGGTGTCTGGGATTACAGAATCCACTTCCGAGATGGAGTCTCCACTAGCTCATCATTGCCTTGCTCCTTGTTGCTCATTGACCTCTTTCTGTATACATGTGGCATCGCATCCTCCAGCACCTCTGCTTCAACCTTGGGTTTCTCAGTGTGGTTTCCTGAGTGTGGGCATTTTTTTTTTTACATGGCAGCTGCCTTACAAAAAGGAGGAAGCAAAAGATACTGGGCTAGTTAAGGGCTATATCCCGGACTGGCACAGCCTTACCTCTGCTGTGTGACTTCTGCTGTGTTACCTCTGCTTACTTCTGTTGTTAAAGAAGCTACAGGTCTTACCCAGATGCATGGCTGGAGAGATAAACTCCACCTCTTGATGAGGGAATGGCAAGGTCACATTGCAGATGAGCATGTGGGATATGCCTATAAGTATTGAATTGGCTTTCTATGTATATGGTCATAAGTGAATTATGTTACAAATATAAAGAATGTGTAGCACACAACTTACAATTAAAAATAAACTGTACTATTTTTGTAGCTTCTACATCCCAGTTGATTCTCAAAGAATGTTTGCATTGATTTTTGCCAGACTCTTCCATTAGTAGCCAACCTGCCATTGAGAATAAGGACTTTGCCTTAATTGTCCTTGAGACTCCTTCAATGACATTATCTTCTTTCCCATAGTAGACTCTCTATAAAATAAAATGGAATAATTGTTCATCACAATCACAAACTAAAATTTAACTCATTTTTTGAAAATATCACCATAATGACATTTTATCGAATACTTACAATATACAAGGCACTTTCAAATATGCTCTTAATTGATTCTCATAACATTGTGAGGAATTCTCATCCCCACTTCCCAGATGAGACAGCAGGTTTGGAGTAGAGTACCTCGCTAAGGATCACACTGCTATTGAAGGCATAGGTTAGACTAGAATCCATGACTTCCGACCCTGAGCGGACTCCTTTCCATTTCCTCCACTGATGCTAGAACATTCAGAGGATAAATTTTAGATGAACTTAGGGACAGGATTCTCTGCCACTATCCATATTAAAATACCTCCTTTCCAGGAAGACTTTTTGATAGACATGAATTGACGAGTCGTACAGAGCATCTTGACTATCTCATTCCTGGTATTAGGTACCAAGATTTTCAGTGAGGAAAACAAAGTATCCTTGCTGTTGCTCTCACCTGGGCAGCCAGACGTGCAGTCTTATCACAGGGGACTCAGGCCCACAAATAGCTCTGCTTGCTTCATCCCTTCCAAAAGTCAGTAGCAAGAATTGTTTAAAAAAAAAAAAAGTCACTCCGGCCATCACCTCCCAGCTACAGGCTCCCCTTAGAAACTAGGGGCTGAGGAACATATTTGAGGAGACGAGGCAGTTTGGGGCAACAGGATTCAGCTATCACCTTGGAAGGGGCGCAGGGAGAAAAATGTGTGTATTGCTGAGTGACGGTGGCAGGGGAAAGCCGGAGAGAGGCCCCCTTTTCCCACCACGAAGTAGATTTTCCTTTCCGTCAGTGACGTGACTCTCTGTGGTTTGTAAAGTCATCCCGTGTTGTGGCTGAAGAGTCCATTTTACAAAGAGACTATGGAGCTGTTTTTATTAATAAATATACAGTTACATGAGGACACTATTCTTTGTAGAAAAATGAAGATATAAAGATACGCACAAAGTTGAAACCAAAACCCATTTGTGATCCAGCCACTATTGTCAATAGACAACTAATGTCAACATTTTGGTTAGTATGTCAGCTTTTCAACCTGAAGAACCCCAGTATTTAGATGGCTTGGATTATGTGTTCATTCAATAGTCAATAGTAATAGCGTTCTATTTTATTTGAGTAGTTTTAAAGTGCTGTGCTGAAATTGTCTTAACTTTCAATATTAAAGAATAAATGACAACTGCCTTCTCAGTAGCTCTGTGGCAGCTCTGACCAGAGCCATGTCACTGTGTGTAATGAAATGCAGAACTTTCATAGGGAAATGATTTGTATCTCAGACAGTCTCATGACCTGCACTTCCTTGTGGTCATCGGCGGTGGGGGATGTGTGTAACTCATAGATCAGACCCCAGGACGAGTTTAGGAAAAGCCCTCTTCCTCCACCTGGTCAAGGACACTTGAAAGAAATCTATGCTGCTGTTAGTTAGCATGACATTATATTCGTCGTACCGTTACTTAGTAGAAACTAGGAATCCCCTGCTTTGTTGATGCAGTATATGCTAAGGAAAGATGTGTCCTAAGTAACAATTTTGTTTATCTATTTTTTTCCTATCTAGGCAGCAATAAGGAAAGAACTAAATGAATTTAAAAGCACAGAAATGGAAGTTCACGAAGAGAGTCGACAGTTTACAAGGTTGGTAGACAAAATTCAGTTTAGCATATTAAAAGTGATTACAATGGTAAATTTTATGTTATGTGTATTTTACCACAGTTACATTTTTAAAAATATACGGTTTAGCATAACACCATCTAATGAACATTTCTAAAATTAAGGTGCTTTTTTTTTTTTCCCAAAGAAGTCTGAATCATTCCAAAGAGCTACATTTTGATTTCTTTGTAGTTTTATTTTCTGGGCCAGAAGTCAAGCACCAGGATCTGTGACTCTGCTTTTGAAGAGACTCAGTTAAAGTTTTATGTCCAGGACAGATGCTGATGAGAGCCAGTGTGGACATGTGTGTGTCTGCTTTGGACTCACCATAGATATAACTTAGGATAGAACCTCAAACTTCAGAATATGCACAATAACTTAAAGTAGGAGTCCAGCTTTTATTGGTGCCACAGAAGCCCGCTATAATCCCACCATTTTTCCTCCCAGCACCCTTCATTTTAATAAGCCCTAAGTGACCATGTAGTCTGACCCCCCCACAATTCACAGGTGTTCTTTGTGTTTCTCTCTCACGGATTTATGTGCTTTGCTTTACATAACAGGTGTGTTCCTAAAGATTTGCATACCAATCAAATCTTTAAAAATTGTGTTGTTAAAAAGCATACCAGGACAGATAATCATATGAAGAATTCTTTCTGGAAAACATGTACTGATCCTCTAGGCTACAAACAGCCTCTGGAGGGCAGCCATACATCGTGGTGCCACGGTCGCTGCAGTGGCTCCTGTTGATGGGGGATTTCCATGTCAGGGAGTGTGTCACAGGATGGCAGTAGGGTTTAGCAGCGAGCCTCTTGCCTGAAGTGCGTGGGGCCTGCCTTGCTTCATAGATATTGCTCCTGTAACAATAATGCCTGGTAGGCAGAAGAAACTCCCCTTTCTTCTAGTGATATTTCTTTTGTTTTCTCGAATAGTATTTATTTATTTAGTGTGTGTGTGTGTGTGTGTGTGTGAACACACGTAGGACTTTCAGACATCCCTAATGTATAGGACTTTTCTCCTATCCTAATCTACACACAGACATGTCACATGTCAATACCAAGCCAAACCTGTGTCCTCTCTTTTTCTCCCTTCCACTCCTGGAGTCAGAAAACGTTCATGCTCATATCTGACACCAGTGGTCACGCTTCTCTAGTAAAGTTGATCATAATAAGGTGGCTGGATATTTATGGTTACATTGAGCTGGCTGGCACCTCCAGGCAACTGGGAAGATGGCATATTTTTGTCTCATTGAATCCTGACCCCTGAGATGTAGCGACTGCATCAACCCAGACTTTGTAGTTTTCCTAGAAATTGTAGTGTTTGATCACCTCATTTCTTTTGATTGCATTATATAAATAATACGTTATGATAAAAAATAATTAAAGTTTTAAAATGCCTTCTTATAGAAGTCCTCATTTTATGAAAAATAAGCATTTATACCAAAAGAGTTTCTTTCTCTTCTGTTGGACACAATAAACAAATAAAATAGGCAGGGGAAAGTAAAAGTTGTTTCTTTTTTAGGTATGTATTTTTAATGTAAACAAATAGTATAGTCTAAATAAATATTCAAACAGTTTAAAAACTTATCAAGAAAAAATGAAAACTCCCTCTACTCCCTCCCCAATTTCGTTCCCACTCTCACCGGCAACCACTGGTGAGAGTTTGGTGTGAGTATTCTACATTCTGGACATTTTTTTCATGTATTTAGAAACATCTGTGTATATGCATCTGTATATAAGTACACCTTCTCAGTCACACGCAAAACAGCATTTAGAAAATCTTTCCATATTAGTATATGTCTCATTCATGACTCTATGGTATTTCATAGATAATATATATCATAAGTTATTGAACAGTTTCTTCTATTGATAGATGTTTATGAAATTTTCAGTTTTCCCTTAGTAAAACAATGCTGTCTTGACAATTTCTTTATAAATGTACCTTTGCGCGCACACACCAGTATTTCTGTATTAGTCCCATAAATGGATTTGCTAGGTCACTCGGTCTAGTTTTTACATTTTGTAAGATGTGGTCTGTGACCTAAGTTGACAAGCATGCCTGGTCTATTCAGCATTTGGGGTGGATGATGGTGGTGAGGGGTCTATATTCTATAGAATGAACATGAATATCCTATTTAACTGATTTCTGTAAAGTTGGGCATCTTTACTTCCCTGTATTGACAGTTCATTTTTTATTCTTTGATTTGTTTTGATCAATTTTCATTTGCATTGTTTATCTTTTTCTTATGGATTAGTAAAAACTCAGGCATTGTAGATATCTGTCATTTGCTACATGTCACAATACTTTCCCCCAATTTCTTGCTAACATTTTAATTTTTATGGCCTTTTGTTTAAGTATCTGCCTATTTAAATTTATCTGTATTGTAATTTTTTAATCCATTGCTTTGTGTCCTATGGAGGAAGACAAAGATTATAAAAATATTACCTTTAATTTTTACATATGCTTTTTTTTTACGCTTAGATCTTTCATCCATTGGGCATTTATTTGGGTGTGTGATTCAAGAGATTAAACTAACTTTACTTTGCTCTAAATCAATAGTCAATTGTCCCACTGCCACTTGTCATCCCCTCAATGTGAAATTCTTCTTTTAATGTACACACAGGTCAATTTCCAGATTCTGGAACGTGCTCTAGCGAGCTGTTGTCTGTCCTTGCACTGTGTCACACTGTTAATTAGGATAGGTTAATCTGGTGGAGTATTTTCTCACCTTGAAAATTCTCTTGGCTATTTTTCTGTATTTGCTCATCTACAGACTTTTAGAGTATGCCTCCTGTTTTCCATAAAATAGTCTACTGATATCTTCATTGTTTAAGTAAATATTAATAGATGCAAATAGGGATGAGCTGAATTTCAAAAGAAAACTATAGACTTTTTTTGGTAATAGCTGATATCACCAGTAAGCTTTAAAAGTTTTCCAAAAAATATATTGATTAACACTATTTCAAATGCCTTTCCAGATAAGGAAAAATTAAATATTCATATCACTAAAATAAAGATGGCTTGCTTAAGTATTCTTAAAAACTTGGCAGTAAAGCAAACGTCTACTGCTGTTTTTCCATTAATTTATATTACATCATTAGACTTGTTTTTTGGTACCGAAATGTTTTTTGGCTTAGAAGCTTATAAAAATCATGCTTACGATTTTCAAATTGATTTCAGTGTTTCTTATTTTTTATTGAATTTATTGTGGTGAAATTGATTAATAAAAGTATTTAGGCTTCAGGTGTACATTCTGTAATACATCATCTGTATCTTGTATTGAATGTTCACCACCCCAAGTCAAATCTCCTTCCATCACCCTTTATCTCCCTTTACTCTCTCCTACCTCCCCCCGCCCCTTTTTCTCCATATATCTTTTAAGAGGAAATGTTTTGGCAAACACTGCTGTGTCTAATCCAAATAATACAAGAATACGATAATGTTTTACATTTAGAAAATTGCTCATGTAGAAGATAGTGGTGCTCTTAGCACCAGTCACCCTTGGAGAAAATAAACATGCTGTTGATCATTACCCAGCCTCTTAAGTGCAACGCAGATACAGAACAGCTCGCTTATTAGCTCTTCTTATTAGTGTCAGACATTACCTCCTTATAGCAAGGAAGTCTTTCTTTAAAACCTAAATCTATTAACTCCCTGGGCATTTGGGCATGTTAAAAGGTTTGAGACAGCCGTGCTCTCTCTGCCAAGGTACCTCTTTATCCAGAGATAATCTGCCACACAATGATGTATCTACCAGCCAACACTGGAAGTATCTGTCCTTGTATACAGCTTCGTTTGCGTCTGCATCTCTGCATAGAGACACAAAAAGCTGATTACTTTGGGTGCCGCTGGCAAGGGGAATAGGGTGACTAGGAGCAGGCATAGAAGGGATTCTTTTCACTACCCACCCTTTGAACCTTTTGAATTTTTGAAACATAAAAATTTATTATCTAGTCAAAAAAAAAAAACACTTTAAAGAAACATAAAGGATCTGTTCCCTACTGTTTCTGTAAGTAAGAATTTCATCAGGATGACTTTCCTTGAATAATGTGCTGCAAGTGCCGGCATTAATTGTGACACTCTTGTCATTGGTGTGCCAACAAGGCGACTCTGGAGCCCCCCATCATGGAATATGTTCTGAGGCATGTTTGATCTGTAGTGGTGAAGAATCATAGTGATCCACTCTTTCATCTAATTCCCCAAGATTCTCCCAGGATTTTGCAGATAGCTGTCTGGAACGGGAGTGCATTCTAGGGCCACATAACAAGGGTGAGGACAAGTGGGCCCCGTGAGGATTCATTCTGTGTCCTGCTAGGTGCCAGGCCTTAACCTTGGGCCTTAGAATACTTGCTGCTTATCTGGCCATGACCTGCATTTCCTCGGCGCAGCAACAGCCCACCTGGACCACTGTTCAAAATCTCAAAGACCATGTGCAGGGCCATTGTGTTCTGGAAGGAGAGTGCCATGCCAAAGAGAAGCCACTTCCCATTCCATAGTAAATGGAATTTCTACAATTCAAAATCATTCTCTAAATGATAAAGGCAAATTGTATGAAAGGTCAAATTTTATTTAAAAACTAAATTTGAAAATGGTTACAGCTAAGTATAAGATTATGAACAATTGTATTTTTCTTCTGGAAATTCTGTTTTCCAATTATTTTGTGTCAATATATATCAGATTTGTAATCAAGGGAGTATTATTTTTTAAAATAATACTTAAGTCCTTATTTAAGTTTTGTAAATAAGGACTTTTTTAGTGTGTGCAATGTAGTACTTATATTAGGGGATATTGTGAAAGACTCATAGGATCTTTGAATTGATGCTCTTAGAATGAAAATGGGCCTCAAGGGATTATTGGCATAATGTTAAGTGGGAAGATCAAGATACTGACTAAACACATATAGCAATGGCATATTTTATTTAAAATTCAGATGCAAAGAAAAAAAATAGAATGCATAGGGAAAAAAATCAAAAACTCTTAATGGTTTG